CAGCCCGGAGTGCCCACCCAGGGGGTGCCCAGGAAGAGGAGAGCTGAGCCGGGGGGGCCTGAGGCTTCCCAACCCTCCTGGTGCCCCGTGGCCCCTCTCTGCAAGGGGTTGGCATGGCCCTGCCCCTCCAGCACAGGGGTGTCCTCGAGGTCCCCATCCCCATGGGGTGCCATCCCTACAGCATCTTCATCCCGGTCCCTGTGGCATTCCCATCCCTATAGCATCTTCATCCCAGTCCCAGTGATGTCCCATCCCTGCAGCATCTCTCTACTGGTCCCTATGGCATCCCCATCCCTGCAGCATCTTCATCCTGGTCCTAGTGGTTTTCTACAGCATCTTCATCCCAGTCCTAGTGATGTCCCATCCCTACAGCATCTTCATCCCGGTCCCTGTGGCATCCCCGTCCCTGCAGCATCTTTATACTGGTCCTTGTGGCATCCCCATCCCTGCAGCATCTCCATCCTGGTCCCTATGGTATCCACATGCCTGCAGCATCTTCATCCCAGTCCCAGTGATGTCCCGTCTCTGCAGCATCTCTCTACTGGTCCCTATGGCATCCCCATCCCTACAGCATCTTCATCCCAGTCCCAGTGATGTCCCGTCTCTGCAGCATCTCTCTACTGGTCCCTATGGCATCCCCATCCCTACAGCATCTTCATCCCAGTCCCAGTGATGTCCCGTCTCTGCAGCATCTCTCTACTGGTCCCTATGGCATCCCCATCCCTACAGCATCTTCATCCCAGTCCCAGTGATGTCCCGTCTCTGCAGCATCTCTCTACTGGTCCCTATGGCATCCCCATCCCTACAGCATCTTCATCCCAGTCCCAGTGATGTCCCGTCTCTGCAGCATCTCTCTACTGGTCCCTATGGCATCCCCATCCCTGCAGCATCTTCATCCTGGTCCTAGTGGTTTCCCATTCCTGCAGCATCTCCATCCTGGTCCCCATGGTGTCCTATCCCTTGCAACACCTCCATCCTGGTCCCCGTGGTGTTTCCATCCCTGTAGTGTCCCATTCCCAATAGTGTCCTATCCCTGCAGCATCTTCATCCCAGTCCCAGTGATGTCCCATCCCTGCAGCATCTCTCTACTGGTCCCTGTGGCATCTCCATCCCTGCAGTATCTCTATCCTGGTCCCTATGGTATCCCCATCCCTAGAGCATCTTCATCCCAGTCCTAGTCATGTCCCACCCCTGCAACATCTCTATCCTGGTCCCTATGGTCTCCCCATCCCTGCAGCATCTCCATCCTGGTCCCTGTAGGATCTCAGTCCCTGCAGCATCCCAGTATTGTCCCATCCCTGCAGCATCTCCATCCTGGTCCCTGTAGGATCTCAATCCCTGCATGCAGGTGTACCTGTGTGTGTGTGTGTGTGTGTACACGTGTGTACCCGTAGCCTGTGTGTACAGGTGTGTACCCACGTGTGTGTGTCTCCCCGTGGGTGTGTGTGGGTGTCACCCCTGGCACCCCCAGCCCTTGCTGTGGTGCCCACACTCATTTCCACAATCCCAGGCTTCCTTCTCCCCTCTCTCCCTCGCCTTGGATGGTTGTAATAACATTCTGGCTCCTCTCCAAGTATTGGGGTTGCCATGGAAACAATAAAACTGCAGCGATTTCGGGCTCTGCTGTCTCCCATTGTAAATGTGGAAGTGCCAGAGTGGGAAGGCAGTGATTCCCCTGGCACAGGGTGCAGGGAGACACTGGCCCTGCCCTGTGTGCACACCTGGCCTGGCACAGGGGGTTGTGGCACGGGCAGGTGGCAACACTGGGCTCAGGAGTTTCTATAGAAACCATGGGATGGTGGCTGGAAAAGCCTTTTCCATGGAACACCACCAAAACACACTTGGTGTGTGTGTGTGTGGAGCTACAGGCTGAGGGTTTTTTTCCCCATGCAGAGATGTCTCAGCGTGGTGGGGACTCACTTGGGCCCTCTGCACGAGGCAGAGGGAGCTGGGCAGTGCCCAGGGGCTGCAGGGGGAGGTGTGAGTGCTGCTTGTGCCCCCCCAGAGCTGGAGGGCTGAGGAACTGGGGGTGCCCCAGTGCTCCCAGGCCAAGGGTGACATGTCACAGACAGCACCAGGCACCCCAGCCTGCCCTGGATTTATTCCCTAAAGGGTGAAGTGGGTCCTGCAGGTCCTACCCTGCCAATAAAGGGGTGCTGGGTGTTTCCCTGCAGGGAGAATCCACCGTGGTGCTGCTCCAAAATGCACAGGACCACCAGGATAAAGATCACCGAGCTGAACCCACACCTGATGTGTGCCTTGTGCGGAGGATATTTCATAGACGCCACGACCATCGTGGAGTGTCTGCACTCCTGTGAGTGTCCTGGGACTCCTCGAGGGCTCTGGGGCTCCCCAGGGTCCCCCAAATCTCCCCTGGTCACCTGCTGAAAAAGTCACCAGGTGAAATGCCACCCTGAGCCCCTCCACAGCACCCAAACCCACCCCAATCAGGTGTTGCTGCTGCGTGGAGCTGTGGGTTGATGGATGGGCCTGGACTGGGCAGGGGTGTTGTCCCCAAACTGGTGTGGGGGTACAGGGATATGGGGGTGCCTTGCCAGGCTGGCACAGAGGCTGTGCCCCCTCACACTGAGTCTCTCCCCACAGTCTGCAAAACCTGCATCGTTCGCTACCTGGAGACCAACAAGTACTGCCCCATGTGTGATGTCCAAGTGCACAAAACCAGGCCCCTCCTCAGCATCAGGTGAGCTCTGGGCACTCTCCTCGGCTGTGCCCCTGCAGGGCACTGAGCCCCATGTGGGTGCAGCCCTGAGCATCCAGGGCAGGGACTGGGGCTCTGCCCCAGCCCAGGTGTGTCTCATAGCTGCATCCGTGGGGATTTGGGGTGCTGTCCGGGTGGGAAGGGAATGGGGACAGTGGGACATGACACTATGGAAGGGACAGGACTTGGGGACATCTCTGTGGCAGCAGGAAGAGGCTGGGACAGGTGCCCTGTGCCCAGATCACATCCCTCCCTCCCTCCCTCCCTCCCTGCAGTCCCACCAGGCACAGCTTAACTGGGACCAGCTGTGCTTCCCAGCCCCCTGCTCTGACCCTTTGGGGGATGGTGCTGTGTCCCTCGGGGGGTGGCAGTGCCAGGCTGGGCACAGCTGACAGGGTACCTGACCACGGTGGCAGTGTTCGTGCTGGCTCTGCCCTGGCCCCGTGTCTGCCTGGGGAAATCCAACCACAGTTGTGGAATTGGCTCTGCAGGTGGTTGGCATAGAAACCACGAAAGGCTGCAATACATCACCCGCCGGTTTTGTATCCTGCTTTTTTTTTTTTTTAAGCCTCTTCCATGTAAATCCGTTTCTGTAGTAACACTTTTTCTGCCTTTTCTATTTTTTTTCCTCCTGGTTCACTATGAAATATTTACACTCCAACTCCCATAGCTCCTCCAAAACATCCCCTCCTGGATGCAGAGGCAGTGCTGCCGTGCTGGTGTCCCCAAGCCCTGGCTGTTGTGGTGGCTTCACCTCTGTTTGAGCCCAGCATGGGGAAAACATGAGGAAAACATGAGGAAAACATGAGGAAAACATAGGGGATGTGGTGCAGGTGACCAGGCCCTGATCCAGCTGTGGTGCCATAGACAATTCCCCGCAGCTTTACTTCCCAAACCAGAGCTGTGGTACCAAAACACTTGGTGTGATGCCACCACATCCTCCAGTGCCACCACACTGGGCTGAATGGGACTGACTCCTGGCAGAGAGGGAATGAAGCAGCTGAGGTTGCTGTTTCCCTTCACTTGCTGTGGATTATAGAGTGATGTTTATTGGAGCTCAAATCCCAGCGAGGCCTCGGGAACCAGTGACGTCACGGAGGAATTCGGGATGAAAGACGTGGCTGGGCTAAAAATAACACAGGGCACAGTCATTTGTTTTTCTTTTCAGTATGGCCTTGGGATGAGATGGAAATATATGCAGAGAGAAGTGACTTTTCATCAAAGCCTCTGCTCTGGCCTTGGCTTTGAGTTCTTAGGCTGTGCCACATTCTGAGCTGATTCCTGGAGCTTTCCCTGTTCCTCGAGTGCTCTAGGAGATCCTGGAGTTGAGACACATTTTAGGGAATCCACTTTCCCATGAAGCAGCTCCACAATGGACACTGTTCTGCTCTGGGAAATCAAAGCCTGAGCCCTTTGCTGCAGCTCCAAAATAAATCTTTGGAGGCCAAGAATAAAATCGGCTGCAAATTGAAACTCGCAGAAACATTTGCTAATCTTAGATTGATTTTTTTTGTGTGTGTGTGTGTATTTAAATTCTGGGTGTGTTTTTGTAATTGTTTTGACTACTGAAAGGGATCCTGGCTCCAAATCCTGCTCTCCTCATTCCTAGCAATTACAAGGATTTTTGAGATGGTTTTCTTTCCTTTTTTTTTCCCCCTCTTCAGTTAACCCTTTGTGGTGAATGTGCCAGTTGTGGTATCGCTATGGAATGGGGATCTGGAGTTTGGGAGAGGGATTTGGAATTTGGGAGGAGGATCTGGAGTCTGGGATGGAGATCTGGAGTTTGGGATGGGGATCTGGAATTTGGGATGGGGAATTAGGGTTTGAGATGAGTATTTAGAGCTTTGGGATGGGGAACTGGGGCTTTGTGTTGGGAATTTCCCAGGATGAGGATGAGGGGAAGCAGCATCCAGCCAGGCTGGGGGCACATGGTGCAGAGCAGCTTCCAGCAGCCCTGGGAATAAGCTGCTGCCTAATCCTTTTGCTTTCTGTCTCTTTTCCTATTTCCCCCCATGCAGGTCAGACAAAACCCTTCAGGACATCGTGTACAAGCTGGTCCCAGGACTCAGGATCTGGGGTTGGGGATCTGGAGTTTGGGATGGAGATCTGGAGTTTGGGATGGGGATCTGGAATTTGGGATGGGGAATTAGGGTTTGAGATGAGTATTTAGAGCTTTGGGATGGGGAACTGGGGCTTTGTGTTGGGAATTTCCCAGGATGAGGATGAGGGGAAGCAGCATCCAGCCAGGCTGGGGGCACATGGTGCAGAGCAGCTTCCAGCAGCCCTGGGAATAAGCTGCTGCCTAATCCTTTTGCTTTCTGTCTCTTTTCCTATTTCCCCCCATGCAGGTCAGACAAAACCCTTCAGGACATCGTGTACAAGCTGGTCCCAGGACTCTTCAAAGGTACAGCCATGGGCAGGGATAACTGGGAGGCTTTGTCACTCATTCCCACCCACCCGTGAAACCAATCCTCTGGATTTTCCACTGCCCTTGGGATTTGTAACAGGGACAGCTCAGCAATCCAGGGTGTCCTCTCAGTCCTCTTGGGGTGGTGGTTTCCCCCCTCACCTTCCTCCTCCTCCTCCTCCCACAGATGAGATGAAGAGGCGACGTGACTTCTACGCAGCATATCCCATGGCTGAGGGTGAGTGTCACAGCCTGGGGACTCTTCTAGCCCTGGCTGTGGCCCCAGGATGGCTCAGCCTCTCCTTCCCTCTGCTCCCACAGTTCCTAATGGTTCCAACGAGGATCGTGGGGAAGTCTCTGAGCAGGACAAGGCGAATCTGACGGATGATGAGATCGTCAACCTGTCCATAGAGTTTTATGAAGGGTCCAGGTACTGGTTTTGGGGCTTCTCCTGAGCCTCTGCTTGGGTTTGGGGCTTGGGAAGAAACTCCCACATTCTCTTCCCACTCTGGAGCTGAGATGATGGAGTCTCAGAATGGTTTGGGTAGGAAAGGACCTTGAAGATCATCCAGCCATGGGCTGGGACACCTTTGGCATCTGACAGCTCCTGCTCAGGGCTCAGTGTATCCTGGGATGCTTGAGCAGACAGAGGAGCACCCAAACCCCCCTGGACCACATCCTGCATCCTCTGGGGGTGCTGCTATGCTCACGGTGTCCCTGCACCCTGGGCAGGCAGGGAAGCTCCTTCCCAGGCAGCAGAGCCCAAGGGTTGCCCTGTCCCTGCTGCTGGTGTTGACCTCCAAGGATGTCAGCAGCACCTGGAGCAGTGTTTGAGGGCGTGAGAGGTCACAGTGGACACGGATGTGTCAGGAGGGTGAAGCCACAGCCTGGCTGAAGGTCACTGGCTGTCTCCCCATGTAGCCCCTCCGTGGAACCTTCCAGGGAGTTCTTTTCCCTCTCCACCTTTTCATTCCTCCATAAACTTTTCATTCCTCCCTAAACTTTGTCCTGTGTTTCTCTTCCTCCCCCAGAGAGGAGAAGAAAGGAACTGTTGAGAACGGAGACCTGGAGAAGGAGAAGGTGAGTATGGTGGGACCAGGGTATGGAGAAGTCCATGTCCAGCTGCCTTTTGGGGGGTGGGGGGACAGCCCAGAGCTCCTGCTGAGGGAGGTGGGCAGTGCCCTGAGGGGCACAGAGGGCTCAGCTCTGTCTCCCTGTGCCCCAGAAGAATGGGCTGCGGTTCCTGCGCTGTCCTGCGGCGATGACTGTCATGCACTTGGCCAAGTTCCTCCGCAACAAGATGGATGTTCCCAGCAAGTACAAGGTGAGGGGATTGCTGGGAGGGACCTGGGGGGGCCTGGGGTGTGCTCACTGCCCAGACATTGCTGTGCTCTGCTGGGCTCAGAGGGGCTGATGCTGTTTGGGCCATCCCAAGTGGCATGTGCTGCTGCAGGCTCTGTGCATCCTAGGGCAGGATCCATCTTTTTCCGGGGTGGGATCCATCCTTTTCCCAGGGCAGAGTCTCTCCTTTTCCTAGTGTGGGATCCACCCTTTCCCTGGGGCAGGATCCATCCTTTTCCCAGGGGGGAATCCATCCTTTTCCCAGGGCAGAATCCACCCTTTCCTAGTGCAGAATCCATCCTTTTCCTAGTATGAGATCCATCCTTTTCCTGGGACAGGATCCATCCTTTTCCCAGGGCATAATCTCTCCTTTTCCTTGTGTGGGATCCACCCTTTCCCTGGGGCAGGATCCATCCTTTTCCCAGGGTGGAATCCATCCTTTTCCCAGGGCAGAATCCACCCTTTTCCTAGTGCAGGATCCATCCTTTTCCTGGGGCAGAATCCGTCCTTTTCCTGGGGCAGAATCCACCCTTTCCCTGGGGCAAGATCCATCCTTTTCCTAGTGTGGGATCCATCTTTTTCCCAGTGCAGAACCCATCCTTTTCCTAGTGCAAAATCCATCCTTTTCCTGGTGCAAAATCCATCATTTTCCTAGTGCAGGATCCACCCTTTCCACAGGGCAGGATCCATCCTTTATGGCTCTGTGAGTCCCTCAGGGACACTGAGGCCCTGGTGCCCCACGAGCAGCTCTGGGAGTGCTGTGGGTGCCCCTGTGCCCACCCTGTGCCCCTGACTCTCTCACCTGTGCCAGGTGGAGGTCCTGTATGAAGATGAGCCCCTGAAGGAATATTACACCCTGATGGACATTGCCTACATCTATCCCTGGAGGAGGGTAAGTCCCATGGGGACAGACTGGGCAGAGCTGGCACTGTGGGAAAGCTGAAGGTATTGAGAAACTTAAAAACTGGGCAAAACCAAAGACCTTAAGGAGAGAAGAATTAAAGCTAAGACCTGAAGTTAAGAACAGAAGAAGTTTAAGAAGTTAAAAGTGGATGAATTAAAAACACAAAGTGGAAAGCTTCAGAATGGCAGAGTGTTAGAATTGTCCTTCCCAACAAATGCCAAGTGGATTCTCCTTAAAAAGGGCTTTGCTGCAGCTGGGAATTTTTGGGGGGCTGTGCTTGTCCTCCTTTCTCCAGGGCAGGTGGGAGGGCTGGTAACCACATCAGTGGTGTGGTACCAGCCTGGTGCTCTGGGGTGCCATGGGGTGCTGTGGGGTGCTGAAGGATGCTGTGAGGTGATTTGGGGTACCACAGGGTGCTGTGGGATGCCATGGGGTGCTGCAGGGTACTATGTGATGCTGTGGGGTGCTGAAGGATGCTGTGGGATGATCTGGGGTGCCATGGGGTGCTGAAGGATGCTGTGGAGTGCTGCAGGGTACTGTGGGGTGCTCTGGGGTATCATGGGGTGCTGTGGGGTGCTGAAGGATGCTGGGGGGTGATCTGGGGTGCCATGGGGTGCTGAAGGATGCTGTGAGGTGATTTGGGGTACCACAGGGTGCTGTGGGATGCCATGGGGTGCTGCAGCGTACTATGTGATGCTGTGGGATGCTGAAGGATGCTGTGGGATACTATGTGATGCTGTGGGGTGCTGAAGGATGCTGTGGGGTGCTGCAGAGTACTGTGGGGTGCTGTGGGGTACCATAGGGTGCTGTAGGGTGCCATGGGGTGCTGCAGCATACTATGTGATGTTGTGGGATGCTGAAGGATGCTGTGGGATGATCTGGGGTGCCATGGGGTGCTGAAGGATGCTATGGGGTGCTGCAGAGTACTGTGGGGTGCTGTGGGGTACCATAGGGTGCTGTAGGGTGCCATGGGGTGCTGAAGGATGCTATGGGGAGCTCTGGGGTACCATGGGTTACCATAGGATGCTCTGGGGTGCTCTGGGGTACCATGGGGTGCTGTGAGATACTGAAGGATGCTGTGGGTACTGAAGGATGCTGTGGGGTGCTGCGGGGTACCGTGGGGTGCCCTGAGGTACTACGGGATGCTGTGGGATACTAAAGGATGCCATGGGGTGCTGTGGGGTACCATGGGATGTTCTGGGGTACTGAAGGATGCTGCGGGATACTGAAGCATGCTGTG